AAGAGTTAGCAGCAGTACCAGGACTAGAAGAACACAGGCCATTTGTTTAAATCTCAATTCAGCTTTCCTTAAAACACATATCCCACACTTTGCCTCTTCGTTCTTATTTAAAATAATAAAAAGTAACTTGACCTCAGGACTGAGTATCACTGTACTGCATCTTTTGGGCTGTCATTGTGGGACTGCTGTGAGCTATTTGTTACTATTGGGCTGTTGCAAGCTAGATGTTTTTCTAGTTGATATGTAGCACTCATCAGGACTGGATGTCATTTGTTGTAGTAGGGTCATGCTGGACTGGTGTTAGATTTTCTGAGATGGGTGAATTTTAGAATCCCTGGAGGAGGAAGCCGAGACCAAAGAGAACAGAACAGCCAAGCCCTAGACCCTTTGACCCCATTCTTAGTATTCTCTTCCCATCACCCCCCTGTGCTAACAGTCTTGTTTGTTAGGACATTGGGTCAAGGGAGTTGATGGAGAAGGAACCTTGCTCTTGAGAGAGGTCACAAATGTGATGCTGCATTGCAAAGGAAAGGGTTCAGTGGTGGGAGCCAAAGGGACCAGACAGTAGGTTGAGGCAGCTGGAAACTTTATGGATGCCTTGGGATCATTTTGTGTCCCTCATACCTATGCCCACAGTCATGTCTTGAGTCTATCTGTCAATGTCCTCCCTACCCTGCACTCTAAAGACATGGCGCACACATTGCCTCTGACAGAGTTGAGTTGTGTCTCAGAGGTGAAGGCCATGTACCCTGGGATCTTCATCTGATATGGGGCTCAGAGAGGCAGAAACAGAAGCAGCAATGACAGCAGAATATGGAGCAAATCAGGACCATCATTTCAGAAGGAAGGCAGGTTAATCACAAAAGCCTGCATGGAAGAAGGGAATGTAGGATAAGGTTGTTGCGGGCTGAGCAAAGAAGTTTAGGAAAGGTCCAGGACTGGGAGAAAATGAAGTGTGGTAAGAGGTGGTGGATGCTCTAGGCTGGGGAGAAAATTAACTAGAGATGATTGTAAGGGGACAGTTATTGATGGAAGATCCATAAAGGCTGGGCTGGAGGGGCAGTGGTAGGTGAGTACGGAGCTCTAGACATGGAACCAGGAAATGCGGGTTTATCTACTTGCTTTGCCACTTCCTAGGTATGGGTACTAGGCTATTCCTTAATATGAGACTCCATTGCCTTATATGTAAAATGGGGAAGACCATAATAATGATAACTAAGAAGTTACAAGATTGTTGTAGGAAGAGTACTTTGTAGACTGTATAGGGATATGGAGAGGACAGGTATTACCAAATAACTGAGTCTTTCCCAGAAATACAGATTGTCATGCCCTCTTGGGTTTATTTCATTTAGCCTTTTGTCACTTTGCGATCTCATTTCAAAAAGAAACCCATTCATTACTATCTTTAGGACAAAAGACCAGAATTCATGGGTGCTCCTACCTTGATTCTTTTAAGTCTCCAAACCCCATCTGAACTTCCCTTCAAACTCCTACCCCAATCAATCTCTTCAAATGCATTCCTCCTCTCCTGGGCCTTCTTCCCACTAGCTTGGCTCCAGAGAAGGGAGTAGCATGGGGGATTAGGGTTAGCTGCCTTGGAAAGCTCAACAGGAAGGTATGAAAGAATCTGGAACAGGTCCCTGAAGGAAGCTGGGCTTTTTGGTGAATGACTTTAATCCTAGGATAAATTCTCAAGTGTCAGTCTGGTGAAGGCTGGTCCTGGCTGGAAGGCAGGAGAATGGGTGAGATGTCTCTGTAGGCCCTAGAACTCCCTCTCCATGGTGCTCACTTAAAGAAGTAACATTTATCAGCGCGAGGGCGGGGAGGGGGGCAAGGAAGAGAGGGGGAGAAAAAATAGCCACAGCCCATTAACCTACTTTTGCAACTTCATTAAAATTCACTCCTTGACTCATAGCTATAAATTGTCTTCTGAGAATGGGACCATATCCTTCGGCTGGTTCACAAGCATTGGAGCTGTTCCCAAAGGACCTTGAGGATAGTCAGAGCTATGGTGGGTAGAGGGACTATCTAGGCAGAACCCAACTGACCCTGCTTTGTTAAATTGGGATAGTTCATCAGTTACATAGCAAGGGCTGGGAGGTCACTGGGGAAGAGAGGCAGGGACTGGAGGGACATTTGGATGATAGGGACAAAGACTGTGGGAACATTCAGTGAGAGGAACAAGGACTGGAGAAGGCAACAAAAGAGGAGAGAACGGGGGCTGAGAGAGGCTGCTGGGAGGGAGGGGAAGAGGATAGGAGGGCACCAAGATAGAAGGTAAAGGAATAGAGGGAATTCTGTGCAAAAAGATGTGACCCCTACCCTGTTCAAGAAATTTTAGGAACTCTCTACTACCCATAAGGTTCCTCTTTTGAGAATCCCCACTGCCTACATTGTCTTTTTTCTTTCTTTCTTTCTTTTTTTTTGGCAAGGTAATTGGGGTTAAGTGACTTGCCCAAAGTCACACAGCTAGTAAGTGTTATATATCTGAGGCCAGATTTGAACTCAGGTCCTTCTGACTCCAGTGCCAGTGCTCTATCTACTTTGCCACCTAGCTGCCCCTACATTGTCTTAAAAAACAAAAAAAACCCTACAGTGTTGATTTTCGGTTCCAACAGAGCCAATCACTGTCCTATATGGACACCAACACTACCACACAGCATGTTCATTGGCATCTCCATGATTTCTCATACTCCTTGTTCATCTTCACCAATCCATGGACCTCTCCTTCTTCCTGGAAGATTTCAGGGATGAAAGAAAGCTCTTCACAAGAGTCATTCTGTCAGCAATGAGTTGGTAACAGTCAAACAGACCTTCACACACCTGAATGTTGGACTTGAATAATAGCAATTTCTCACATTTCTGGAGTGCTTTAAGGTTTGCAAGGCACTTTACAAACATTATCTCATTTTATCCACAACGCTTGAAGGTAGATATTATTATTATCATCCCCATTTTACAGATGAGGAAACTGAAGTTGATTGAGTTAAATGACTTGCCTTGGGTCATGCAGCTAGTAAGGCCAGATTTGAACTCTGGGCTTCCTGACTCCAAGTCCAGTTCACTAATCTCTATGTAAGCTCTTTAAGGGTAAAGTCTGATTCCTTTTTTGTCTTTTGTATTTTCAGCTCCTAGCATGGCTCCTTGCCCATTGTAGGTACTTAATAAGTCCTGGCTGAATTAAATTGAACCCAAGCCCTGGAAGAAGAGTGACTCTTTGTACTGGGAGAAGAAGAACACTTGCCTAGGATCACACAATAAATGTGAGCCAGAGCCCTGAATCTTAATTGGATCAAGGCATGGATGGCCTGCTTGTCAATATTTTGGTTTTTAATTTTCTTTTAAATTATCAACTTAATCATTGACAAATGCAAACATTCCAACATTCAAGAACAAAAAAAGAAGATTGCATTTGAAACCACAAACTTCTGTTACACATTTTCTTTTTTAAAAGTGCGTATTAAATTTAACAAGTTAGCAATAAAACCATCATGTTTGTGTCCCCTCCTTGAACCATTTGTTTTCTTTTGTGTGGTTTTTAGTGTTTTATTGATACTATTTTCGTATTTCTGTCACTTTCCAAGTACTCACCACCTCTCAAAGAAGTCCTCCCTTGGAACAATATTCAGTCACATGCTTATCAAAGCTCTGAGAGATAGCTAATATATTGAATGACAGCCCAGATTCAAAAATATCTTCATAGGTTAAAGCAAGGACCAAACCACAATGGTATTTAATATGGATAAGCACAAAATTTTCTAGTTGGGGGCCAAAATCAATTCCACAATTAGCAGATGGGGAAGGTACGGCTAGACAACAACTCCAATGAAACAGACCTATGGGATTTAGTAAGCCAATATGTCGGCTAACAAAGCTAATGTCATCTTTTGGCATTGAGAGGCAGGAGGTTCAGAATGAGAGAAGCAGTTGTTCCACCATATTTTGCCTTGGTCAGGCCACATCTTGAATGCTGTTCAGTTCTGGGGACAGTATTTTAGAAAAGACACAGAAAAGGTAGAAGATGTCTAGAACGTAGTAACTAGGATGATGAGATGACCAGAAAACATGCCATACAAATGAGGACTGGCTCAAAGAATTGGCGATGTTGAGCCTGGAAAAAAGAAAATAGCATCACAAGGTCATAGAGTCATAGATTCACATATGGAAGAGACATCAGAAGTGAACTAGTCCAACCCCCTATTTTATAAATGAGGAAGATGAGGCCTGGGGAAGTGAAGTGATTCACCCAAGGTCACACAGCTAGTCAGTTGGAAGAGATGGAACTGAAACTCAAGGCCTATGACTTCCAACTCAGGACTTTGGCAGAGATATGACACTGTCTTCAGCTATGAAGGGATTTCATGTAGAGCGGGGATTACAGTTGTTCTGCTTTGCTTTAAGGGGCAGAATTAAGACAAGTGGATAGAAATTACAGAAGAATGGACTAAGATTATGTAAGAAAAAGCTTCCTGTCCATTAAAGTTGTTTCAAAATAGAATGGGCTACCTCCAGAAGTAACAGGTTCCCTACTTGTGGGGAATCTTCAAGCAGACGCTGGACAACCAGGGCAATTAAAATATGCCCGATATGTAGGGGATCTAGAGGGCCTTAGAGGCCCTTCCAGCTCTTAGAATCTCTCGCTCTGTAACTCTGACCCCTTCTAGCCTTTTGTTTGCCCCATTTTTTCATGTGTATCAGTTTGTACTTGTTACTGGGTAGATTTGTAAGAAGCTTGAATTCTACTTCAGCCTTGATGACCACTCCCTTTTGGACCTTAGGTAATTAACTTCCCTTTCTGCATCTTCCTCAGTTTCCTTATCTGTCAAATGAGAGGGTTTGACTACTAGGGACAAAATATTGTATACACTGTCCAACAAGGTCCCCATAAGATGCTTTTGCTTAGCTGTATTCTTTGTTAAAATCAGGCTCAATCTGGTGGTGGAGGGGTGGGAGGTAGTGAAAGAAGAGTATTTCCAGAAATGACTTTGACATAAAGACAATTCATCAATAAAACTTTTTTTTAATCAATATAATTGAACTGAATGATCTTGCTTTGAAGTTTTACATATAATCAATCCTCTTTTTCTGTTCTATTTATATGGAAATGTTTATCCAGTGTTTGTTAAGTTCAGAATTTGAAAAATCTAAATAATCTTTCAAATCTCTTTCTATGGTTCTATTTTTTAAAAACGCAATTTAATTTTTTAGTTAACAAACATTTACTTTCTCTTCCACTACTCCTCAACTGGAACCAAGGAGAGAAAAACAAAACCCTTGGGAAAAATATGCGTAGGCAAACAAAACCGCTTCTATTTCCAGAAAAGGCTCAACAAGAAGAAACCGTAGCAGGAGAGATGGAGATTAGACATTAAGAACATCCAAACAAAAGGACTTGCTTCAACTATATTAACAGTTAAAGCAATACTGTTGTAGAGACCTCTCAGCACCGGAAACGCTGAGCTCTGATGGCAGGAAGATGAAGCAAAGGGAATCTTGCTCATTAAGCTGGGCTTGATTTAAGTGCCCTCAGTCATCCCTGCTCTCCTTCAGAGTTGCAGCCTAAGAAAACAAAAACATAAACCAGACATTTTCTTTCATGTGTACTTGAAGAAACTATTTAGTCCAGCCCATTTACAAGCTGTTGGGACTCTTTATTAAGCAAAGCTCTCTCTGGTTTTCCCCAAATGGACTCCCAGGGTTAAAGTTCACACGTGAAGTGTGTGTGTGTGTGTGTGTGTGTGTGTGTGTGTGTGTGTGTTTCTGGGTTAAAAAAAACAATTGTGGGGTAGGAATTATTTGTTTTTTAACATAGAGCCTAGCACAGTGCCTGGCACATAGTAGGTGCTTAATAATTGCTTCTTTACTTGACTTGATTGACTTGACTTATCTTTTTAAGATCCAGGTCAAAACCTAGTTAAAGGGAGATTGGACATGGGAAGAAAACTGACACTGAAGACCAAAAAAAATCAAGGTTCTCATCCCAGTCAATTGCCATGTGACTGTGCCTAAGTCACAGCCTCTCTGGGCATTCAATGGAGGGCAAGCAGAGATGAGCACCAGGAATAAATATGAAGACTTACTATAGAACTCATGATCAAACAAGAGATAGAGAGCATTACAGGATGTAAGATGGATAATTCTGACTACATTAAATTAAAAAGGTTTTGCACAAATAAAACCAATGCAGCCAAGATTAGAAGGAAAGCAGGAAACTGGCAGGGAGGGGGAGGGAGGAATTTTTTATGGTAAGTGTCTCTGATAAAGGCTTCATTTCTCAGATATAAAGAGAAATGAGTCAAATTTATAAGAACATGAGTCATGCCTCAATTGATAAATGGCCAAAGGACATGAACAGGCAGTTTTCAGAAGAAATCAAAGATATCTCTAGTCATATGAAAAATAATGTAAATCACTATTGATTAGATAAATTCAAATTAAAACTCTGTGGTACCAGCTCATACCTATTAGGCTGGCTAATATGACAGAAAAGGAAAATGACAAATGTTGGAGGGGATGTAGAAAAATTGGGACACTAATGTATTCTTGGTGGACTTGTAAACTGATTCAACCATTCTGGAGAGCAATTTGGAACTGTGCCCAAAGGGCTATAAAACTGTGCATACCTTTGAACCCAGCAATACTACTACTAGGTCTATACCCCAAAGAGATCAAAGAAAAAGGAAAAGAACCTAAATACAAAACTATTTATAGGAACTCTTTTTGTGGTGAAAAAGAATCGGAAATTGAAGGGATGCCCATCAATAGGGGAATGGTTGAACAAGTTATGGTGTATGCTTGTGATGGAATACTATTGTGCTATAAGAAATGATAAGCAGACCTGAGTTCAAATCTGGCCTCAGACTAAACACTTGATACTTGCTAGCTGTGTGACCCTGGGCAAGTCACTTAACCCCAACTGCCTAAAAAAAAATGATAAGCAGGATGATTTCAGAAAAACCTGGAAAGATTTATATGAAATGATGCAAAGTGAAGTGAGCAGAGCATTGTCCACATTAACAGCAATATTGTAATGATGATCAACTGTGAATGACTTAGCTATGTTCAGAAATACAATGATCTAATGCAATTTGGAAGGACTTATGATGAAAAATGCTATCCATCTCCAGAGAAAGAACAGATACAGTCTAAATGCAGATTGAAGCATATTTTTAAAACTTGCTTTATTTTACTTTTTTTGGGAGGGGTCTGTGTTCTCTTTTGCAAAATGGCTGATATGTTTTGTATGACTGCACATGTATAATCTATATCAAAATGCTTGCCTTCTCAAGGAAGGGAGAGGGGAGGGAGGAAGGGAATATAGAACTCAAAAATTATAAAAAATGAACATTAAAAAACTGTTTTTACATGTAATTGAAAAATTAAAAAAAATAAAATGATTTTTTAAAAGACTAATTACCTTACTCTCATCTCCAAGAAACCTCAAATGAAATGATTATTAATAATGCTTGCTGCTGTTTATGTTAATAATTAAAACAAATTTCATAATGACCTTGGCCTCTCTCCAGTTACCATCTGTCAGACTACCATGAAGGCAGGAAAAGAGTACCACATCTGGTACCACAAGACCTGGTTCTCTACAACTTGATATCTGATGACCTTGGGAAAGTCATTTTCCCCACTCTGGGTTATAGTTTCCTCATATGTAAGATGAAAGGGTTGGATTGGATGGTCCCTAAGGTCCCTTACAGCTCTAAATTCTATAATCCTATTCATTTTAAAGCCACTGTCAATCCTTTCCCTTTAATCCCCTTTCCTTGCCTTTGTCCCTCTTTATTCTGTCTTCACATTCCCCATGCTTTCCCCAATACTATAACATGAGAAAAACAATCTGTAAGAGGGATCTCCAGCTATACAGGGGCCAAGTCACTGACCTCTAATTTCCACCCAAAGCTGTCGTTTGGTTTCCTCTTCCTGGTCTTTCCCACAGACACTCCCCTCTTTCCTGTGGAATCATGGGTTAAGAGACCAGTTGGTGAGAATTCTTAAACACAATAAACAGTAAATCTCTTGGCTCTGCTCAGAGATGAGATGTATACAATTCCCAAATGGTCAGGGTTCTGCACAGTGAGTTCCTGGTACAGGCCTCAACTTTCCTTTAAGTGCCCCATCTTCTTTTCTGGCCCCCAGGAGCCTGTCCTTTGTGGGGAAGCAGAGAAGGCAGCAGATCTGGCAATGAGTCACCTCCATCTAACCTATTGCCAGAAGTCGATGGGGGAAGGAAAAGCAAATAAGTGATGTGGAACAAGGAGTTTTCTTTATCTCCTACTTCCCAAAAGTTTTCTAAGGAAGCTGTTTGGTCTTCCCAACCAATAGGAAGGCTCTCTTCTCCAGTGTGGAACTTATAGGAGGCATCAGAGTGATCTTTTTAGAGATACCCTCCAAAGACAGAGAGAGAGTTGTCACAACTCTGGAAATCAACCAATTGACAAGCATTGACCAAGCACCTACTTGCCAGTCTGCAAGGAGACCAGTAGCCTCCTTGCCCCACAAAACAAAGACAGGGCACTAGACTAGGCATTTCCCTGACTTCAAGAAGCTTACATTCTAACAGGAGAGATATGTGTATATAAGTAAACACAAGACGACAGGGGTACAAGAACCAGGAATTGACTCATATAGAAGTTGGCACTTAAGTAAAGTCTTGAAGCAGACTAGAGATTCAATGAGGCAGAGGTGAGGAAGAAGTGCACTCCAGAAATGCAGAATGGCTAGTACAAATGTACAGAGATAGAAAATGGAGGGTTATATGTGAAGGACCGCATTGGAGACCAGTTTGATTGAACTATATAGAACCATGGGGGAGGTGTGTGTAACAAGCTGGAAAGTTGGAATCAGATTGTGGAAGCTTTTAAATTCCAAATAGCAGTTTATATTTGAACACAGACGTATTAGGGAAACATTGGCATTTATTGAGAAGGGTAATATGATCACACGTGCATTTTGGCAGCTGTGTGAAGGACAGATTGGACTGTGGATGTGGGGAGCTCAATTAGGAGGATATTGCAATAGTCTAGGTGAGAGGTGATAAGGGCCTGAACTTGGGGAGGGAGGAGATGTGGGGTATGGTTATATTAGTCTAGCAAAAGGAGGCGAATTTGAGAGGTGCTGGAGAGGTAGAAATAACAAAATCTGGTAACTGACTGGACATATGGAGTGAGAAAACATGAGAAGTATTCTGAAGTTTCAAATGTAGGTTACTACTACACTTCTGTCAGGTGCCCCTGACAGAAATAAGGAAGTTGGGAAGAGGAGCGGGTTGAGGGGAATGAGATCAGTTTGGGGGCATATTGAATTTGAAGTGCCTATGGAACATCCTAATCCAAAATGTCTATTAGGTACTTGGTGATGTGGAGCTCAGAAGAGAGACAAGGGCTAGACGCTATGAGCTAACATCTGAACTTCTAAGGGGTGCATCGGAAGGGCAATATTCTAAAGGAGTTTTCCAGAATCTCATTGTGATGTGTGGATAATCTAAAACAAAACAACAACAAAACCAAAACCAACAAGCTTTGGTCTGGTCTAATTGTTGAGGATTCCAAATTCCGATTATTAGGCAGAATGGTAGAAAGAAGAGAGGCCGGAGGGGTGTAGGATGGAGAACAGGGGTTAAACAGTGCCCAAGGGAGGAGAGATGGGATCAAAGTGGGAGAGATAAGTACCTGGGCATGTAGACACTCCCCACCCCAGAACAGAAAACATCCCTAAGGCAAATGGCCTTTTACTATGCAAAGTGCCAGGGAAGCATATCTCATTTACAAGTTGAGGGCATGGAGGTTAGTCTCTGGAGCAATATACCTTCATGACCTCATCTCCACCTGTGCCTCCTCATACCTCCAACTCTCTTTGTGTCATTCTGGATGAATAGGTGCTGTGTCATCATCAATCATTATCAGAAGCAAACATCACTGTATGCTTACTGAGTTGGGTCCAATCAGGATGCAAAGATGAGCAATACATAGTTCCTGCCCAGAGCAGCTTCTACCCTAGTTGAGGAGGTGTAATATAGGGTGCTCAAATTCCTTCCTAGTCTTTAAAACCCAATACATTCAAATCCAGCCTCAGACACTTGTTAGCTCGGGCAAGTCACTTAATCTCATTGCCTCTTCCCCCTGCCCCCCCCCAAAAAAAAGGAAGAAAAAACCCCAATGCAAAAGTCACTTCTTGCTGGGAGTCAAGCTCAGGTCCTCTGGTTGCAAATTTGGCCCTTTTAGTTCTATACTCTGCTGCATTTTTAAAAGCCACTTATAAAATAACAACACATATTGCAGTTATTGGTGTCTGTCTCTTTCCCCTTATTAGATTCAAGGGCCATGTCACATCTCAATTTTTTATCTCTGAGCACCTCTGCACACAGTTGGCATCTAATAAGTGTTTGTGGAATGAAACAACGAAAAAATAACTAAGAGTCATGGGTCAAGGCTCTTAACCTTTCCTAGGTCATGTTCCCGTCTGGCCATTTGGTGGAGCCTATGGATCCTTTCTCAGAATCATGTTTTTATTTTATGTATTTATTTTTTGGCTAGGCAATGGGGTTAAGTGACTTGCCCAGGATCACACAGCTAGTGTTATATGTCTAAGGCGCGATTTGAACTCAGGTCCTCCTGAATCCAGGGCTGGTGCTCTATCCACTGTGCCAACTAGCTGCCCCATCAGAATCATGTTTTTAAATGCATATGTGTTCAGAAGACTAAATAACAAGCAGGATGGTTTCAGAAAAACCTGGGAAGACATATATGAATTGATGTAAATAAAGTGAGCAGAACCTGGAGATCATTGTACACAGCAACAGTAACATTGTAATGATGATCGACCCTGAATGACTTAACAACTGTGATCAATACAGTGATCCAAGACAATTCCAAAGGAACTATGATGAAAATTACTATCCATCTTCAGAGAGATCTGATGAACTCTAGGGGCAGCTGGAAGCATCCATTTTTACTTTCTTTATGTTTCTTGCTCTGTATTGTTTTGTTTGGTAACATGGCTAACATAGAAATGTTTTGCATGATTTCACAGGTATGATTACTATTATACTGCTTACCTTCTCGATGGGTGGGGGAGGGAGGGAGAGAATTTGGAACTCAAATTTTTAAAAATGAATGTTAAAAATGAATACATATGACCAAAAAGAAACCAAGTATGCTGAAATACAGTTATAAAAATTTTAAAACAAACAAGTTCACATACCTTAGGACAACAAGAGCCCAAAGAGAAACGTGGATACTACTCCAGAATAGGATAGAGAGAGAGGGAGAGAGAGAGGTTGCAATGGATTAGGAGCAGAGAAGGCTTCCTAGAGGAGGTAGCACTAGTGCCAGGGCCAGAAAACTGTGTAAAAGTATCCTTTGAAAGAAGGAAAACTTGATTAGAGAAAGGTAAATTAAAACAACTCTGAGGTACCACTTCACATCTATCAGACTGGCTAATGTGACAGAAAAGGAAAATTATAAATGTTGGAGAAGATGTGGGAAAATTGGAACACTAATGCGTTGTTGGTGGAGTTGTGAACTGATCCAACCGTTCTGGAAAGCAATTTGGAACTATGCCCAAAGGGCTGTGAAACTGTGTATACCCTTTAACCCAACAATACCACTATTGGGTCTATATTCCAAAAAGATCAAAGGAAAAGGACTTGTATGTACAAAAATATTTATAGCAGCTCTTTCTGTGGTGGCAAAGAATTGGAATTTGAAGGGATGGCCATCAATTGGGGAATCACCGAACAAAGCGATGAATACTATTGTGCTATAAGAAATGATGAGCAGGGGGATTTCAGAAAAACCTGGAAAGATTTACATGAACTGATGCTTAGTGAAGAGAACAGAACCAGGAGATCATTGTACACAGTAACAGCAATATTACAATGATGGCCAACTGTGAATGGCTTAACTATGTTCATCAATGCAATGATCTAAGACAATTCTGAAAGGCTTATGATGAAAAATGCTATCCACCTCCAGAGAAGGAACCAATGGAGTCTGAATGCAGATTGAAGAATTTTTTAAAACTTTCTTTATTATTATTATTTTTTAATCTGTTTTCTTTTGCAATATAGTTAATATAGAAATGTTTTACATGATTGTACATGTATAATCTATATTAAAATGCTTGTTTTCTCAATGAGGGGGGCAGGAAGGGAGGGAGAGAATTGGCAGCTCAAATTTAAAAAAATGAATGTTAAATTTTTTTGTTTATATGAAATTGAGAAAAAATAAAATAAAAATTAAATGTTTAAAGAAAAAAAAAGAAAGATAGAAAACTGAGGCAGATACCAAGAAAGACATTTCAGGCAGAAGAACCAACTAGAACAAAGATGGGAGTGTATATTGCCTGTTAGGAAGGCCTGAGAAGGTAAATTTAGCATGAAAACAGGATTTATACAGGGAAGTAATCGGTAAGTAAGCATTTATAAGTGTCTACTATATGCCAGGGGTAGCTAGGTGGAAAAAGAGAGTGCCAGGCCTGGAGTCAGGAAGATTTGAATTATAATCTAGCCTTAGACACTTACTCACTGTGTGACCCTGGGCAAGTCACTTAACCCTGTTTACCTGAGTTTCTGCATCTATAAAATGAGCTAGAGAAGGAAATGGAAAACCACTCCAGTATCTTTGCCAAGACTGAACAACAACAATGTGCCAATGGGAGCTGGCTTGGAAAAGATGGTCGGATTGGCCCAGTGGATGGACTCAAATGCTAGATTTTGGATATTAGCCACTAAGCAGCTGAGGCCCTAGGGAAGATTTTTTCAGCAAGGGAGAAACATGATCAGAACTGTTTGTTAGCTAAATCAGTCTGGGATTTGAAGCAAGGACAGACTAGAGGCAGGAAAACCAGTTGGGAGGCTATGGGTAGATGCCACTATTTTCAGGTGAACAGCTCTGTGTTCCTGTGACAATTTTTCCATTTTCCCCAAGTCAGTGTCTCTATGTCATTTTGGATACCTATGTGTCATTGTCCCTGTGGCTACATTTGTATTTGTATCTGTGTCTCGTTTTGTCAGTTTGATTGTCTGCAGGTGTGTGTGTGTTTTGTGTATGTGTGCATGTGAGTGCACACGTGTATGTGTGTAGTGGGGGGGGGGGTAGGTATGTGTACACACACATAGCTGTGGCTAGAGAAGCCTGTTTGGGCCAAGGCTCTCTTGGTCTCCTGGGGAGCACAGGGGTATGGATGATGGATTACCACTTCCCCACCCCATCTGTCTCCCTCTCCCACTACAGTTGGAAGGACCCTGACCTCTTACGCAAACTGAGTAGCCCCTCAAGCTCTCTCAGAATCAGAATTCCAGTTCTCCTCAAGTGTGTGTGTATGGGGGGAGGTGCTGTCCCTGTCACTTGGGGGACAATGTATTCACTGACTGTATTCCCAACCCCACTCTCTGTCTCTGAGCCTGGGCAAAGCTAAAGCCAACCAATATCCATGCATTCAAGAGGGCACCCAGGGATGCAAGAAAGAACAAAGGATAGGGTTGAATACTAAAGGGATGGAGGTGGAGAGTAAGGTGGACTCCTCTCCAAATCCCCAGGTGGTTCTTCCCACCGTCCTTGATAAAGGGGGTGGGGGAGGAACAAAAGACTCCCAAGAGCAGAGCACAAACTGAGCCAGCTCAGCCCACAGGTGGGAGAACAGGGGTGGAGACACATGAGAATATTTCCAGGCTGGGCCAACCCAAATAACACAGAAGGGGGAGGGAGTCTCTAGAGCAAGGTATGCTGAGGGGAAAGGAGACAGGGCTGAAGGGAGAAATTCGGGGGAAAGGGTAGGGATGGAGGGGCCCTGGGAGGAGGGACAGGACATCACTGCCCTTCCCTACTTGCTCTTGCTTCTCACTACCCATGCTTGCCTTGCCACCCCTCCCCCTAGACCGGCAGGGACCCTCTGGCTAACCAGGGTAGGCAGCTTGAGAGAGCTGCTCTGACCTCCTCAGCAACCTCTGCAGCTTTCCCACATGGCTCAGGTCAAACTCAGTGGCCCAATAGAGTGTAAACTCCTAGAGACTAAAAGGGGACCCTTTTGCTTTCTGTTTCCATATCCTCAGAATCTAGCACAAACACCTGCAGGAACAGGAACATCACCATCATCATCATCATCATCATCATCATCATCCTTGCTGCAAAGATTGATACTGAGATACCAATCATTGCCAGAGGGTAGCAGATTTTCAGCCCTTATCACAGCTCAGAGAGACCACCGAGGCAGGGAGCATTAGACCTGGGATTTGATGGTAGAAGGAACTCTGGGTTAGGAAACTCCTTCTCCCAATTCAGGTCTTTCTGTAATACCTTCTCTGTGACTGACTTACAGTTTTAGAGGTTAAATGACTTGTCCAGGGTCACACAGCACTTGAGTGGATGTGTCTATATGTATCAGAAGCAAAACCTGAATGCAGGCTTTTCTGACTTGGAAGCCCATTCTCTAGCTACAAATGATACTGCGCTTCTATTATTTGTACGATTGAGAGCAATGAATAATTTTATAATAAGGACTGCCAGATCTCATTAGAGGCTGATCTCTAGTCTAAAATGTTGTTTAGGCTTTTAGAGTGTAAACTATAAAGTCCTTGACAGTGAGGACTGTCTTTTCCCTTTCTTTGCATCCCCAACACTTAGCACAGTGCCTGGAACAATAACAGATGTTTGATGCCACTTGACTGACTGGATCTGATTTCATTAGTAGAGGAAACTCCCATTACCATTCAGGCCAGCACCTTCTCTGCAACTTGTCATCTTAACAGAGTTGCCTAGATCAGCACTTCTTAAACTGCGGGTCTCAACCCTGAATGAGGTCTTGAAAAATTTGGCAACAATAAAAGGTTTCTGAGTGTGCAACAACCAAAAATTAATTAAAAATCAAGCACAAAACCCAAAGCGTTTCTGGCAGGGCTTACCTACGTTGCACTGCAACTTCACTGCAGCCTAGGTTCTGAACACAAAGCACGTGCATTTTGCACTGCACAAGCCCTCAGGCCAGGCAACACTTTGGAACCCCCAAAAAGGGTCTTCAGTGGAAAAAGTTTAAGAAGTGCTGGCCTAGGGTACCTTAGGGAAGTTAGATGGTACAGCAGATAGAGTTCAGACACTTACTAGTTGTATGACCCTGGACAAGCCACTTCACCTTGTCTGCCTCAGTTTCTTCATCTGTAAAATGAGCTGGAGAAGGAAATGGCAAACTACTCTCATATATTTGCTAAGATAATCCCAAATGGGATGGACATGATTGGAAATGACTGAACAAGAAGGAGAGTACTTCAAGGTTAAGTAACTTACCCAGGATCACAGCCAGTGTTAAGGGCAGTTCTTAAACCCTGGTCTCTCTGGCTTTGAGAGCAGTTCTCTACCTGTTACAGCATGCCCTCTCCTTGGTCGGTTGGTTGTTGTCCTTCCTGCTTGAGGAAGATCAAGATTACATCACTATGTTGGGGTCAAGGTTTTGTGTGTCCAACTATCTACCACGGGCCAGGCACAAATAATTCACACAAACATCTGGGATGCTCCCTCTTATGATTATCATCAAATCAGGGCACTGTAGGACAATAAAGAGAAGCTGGTACTTGGGATGACTGTGTCCTCAAGCCTCTTTGGTTGGGATCGTGGATCTATTAGAGGACCTTAGCTGGCTAAAGTCCATGAGAAGTAAGGGGAAGAGCCATGATTGGGGCCATTTCTTTGAGTCCTGATGCAATGCTACACTACAATATTACTCTTTCCAGCTAACATCCCCCTATTTACCTATTTGAAACATGGAGGATTAAGCACCTCCCCCCCCACACACACAGCATGTGTGCTCACACATGCACAGACATACAAACACAGATTCCTGCCGGCTCTGTCTCCCTTGCCATTGCAGGGAGTATCTAAAATGGTTTCAGCTGCCTTAGCGCTCCTAAACTCATCCCATTCTTTCCTGTGTACTCACATGGAGGCCTCTTATACTGAGATGTGACAACTTCCCTCAGCCGCTCACTCCATGTCTCCCAATCCTGCCCTGCAAAATACTCTTCCTCTCATCTAACCCCCTAATCACTAGCTATAATTTTAGGCTACCTCCCTGGTAGCTGTTCAAAATGAAGAGAATATTGCAGCCTTTTGGTACGTGCTTTTCTAAAGCTATAATCCCTCTGGCCTCCCCCATGCCATCTCCACTCAGCCACCTGCTTGTGTCTCCCATCCCTGGCAGCCTGGAAGTCCTCCCTACTATTTATTCTGAATTCCACTTTCCACAGTCTGGAAATCCATTTCAATCAACCTCCTGTATTTACTCCATCTGAGTAACTGTGTGTTTAAGGTCCCTCAGGGAACTAGGCTCACATATACCCTTGGTCACTTAATCCACAATGTCTACCCTTCCTTCTTCCCATTGAAAGCAGGCCAGTCCTCTCTAGCAGAAGGAGATCAGATCTCTCTCACCTGGTGAGAAAGGAATTTGATGTTTCCTCTGAATCAGTATACCACTTTCAAATGCCTCCTTTCCCCTTCCAATATCTTAAGTCAAACCCCTCTTCATCCCCTTCTCCAAAGCATCCACCCCTTCCCCACTGTGACCATGCCTGAAAGAGGGCAGGTGAAGGTCACTGGCCCTCTCCCAGCTCCCCATACTAATGTGGTCAGCCCTAGGGCAGGGAGAGGGAGTAAGACCCTAACACTCACTAGAGAAGGGGGTAATTAGAAGCAGTGCTGGTCCCTGTCCCCCAAAAGGTACTGCTGAACAGCATCATCCATCATTAGGGCCAGCTGCAGGAGAGGTGGGGGGAGAGGCAGAGGGGCTCAGGATTGGCTGGCTATGACTTGCAGAGGAAAGGGCTGCAGGGGAATAACCTAAGAATGACCTTGCTGGGATTTTAACTCCTCTGCCTCTGCCCCTATCTTCCCAGTGTCCCTCCATCCCTGTTCCTCAATTCTCTTTCCTGACTTTGCCCTTCTGCCCGATGTCCCCTAGCCCCTGCCCCTCTCCCCTCACCCTCTTCCCCTCTTGCCCCTATTCCTTTCACCTAATCCACCTTTCCAGCCTCTTCCTCCCTCCTCCCAGCATCCTCGCCCTGTTCTCTTCTCTTTTCTCTTGGGTTATATCTTTCCCCCACCATTACCGTCAGCCTTCAGTTCTCAAGTTCCCTCCCTACTTATAGTACTTCCTAGAGCTGGCAGAAATCTCTGGAAAAGGAAAGGGATGGTGTGTGCCTTCCAAATGTGTTTATTTGATCTGAGTCTTGGCCAGCTTGGACTGTGTATATTTTGATATCAAAATATTTGATGTGCAAATTTTCTTGTGGATATAGGTAGGTCAATTAGAAGGTAAGGAAGTGTGGCATTCCTTGGTGAGATCTCATTTTTGCTCTAAGTGATCATATCTGGGCAAGGGGAGCAAGGTTGCAAGGCTACGTATGTGTGTGGTATATGTGAACACATGCCACGTCTGTGTGGCACCAGGGGCATGTTGCCTGTTGATGCACCTGCTTTCACATGTTCGCCTGTCATGTTATGTTATACTAGGGTGTGTGATGGCACGTGTATGTGTGCCTTTGTGAACACACAAAGAGGTTACATTTTCATGAGTGTGTCTGTATCAGGAATTGAAATTTGTTTCTCCATGTTCCTTCACAGGGGAAAAACAATGAGTCTGAAGAGATGTAAACACTGCACCCCCACCCATGTCTTTTCAGTCATCTCCCCCTTGTTCTGTACCCCACCCCAACCATGGGTATATAGAAATGAGAATGTGTGGGGGAGGGGAGAGGGGAGAACCAGCTCCAGCAGGTCAGGTGGCCATAAGGAAGGGAGATGGAGAAGGAAGGGCAACTTTGCCAACACTTGTGAAAGTTCCTAGTTACATATGCAAATGTCCTCATTAGAGATGCAAAGAGCTTCTCCAGTTAATAGCTGCAGCTTTTTCCAAGCTGATGCACTGAACTGAAGGAGAGATGGGGGAGTAAACCACCAGCAAGGGGCAGAAAAAGACAGGAGGGAGGACTCCCATTACCCAAGCCAGGCACCTGGGTGTGCAGTACTCCATCCCTTACCCTGGGCAACCCCGGGGAAAGAAAGGAAAGCACTTGGCTTAAGCAAATAGGCAGAATTGAGCCACTGAGGCAGAGGATGGGACTCCTGATCCCTCTGTCTCGTTCTAGTGAGAAAAGGGACCGAAGCTCGAGTCAGTGCTGGGCACCCTCAGGTGCTATCCCACAGTGTTGGGGTCTCATTGAGGCTGCAGCCTGGGCAGGAAAGAGACAGGGTCCATTGCCAAGAGGGCAAGAAGAACGTTCATGGTCTGAGGGCTTGGTTATCGTGTGCCTGTACACAGAGTCATGGAGTGTCACATGATTCTGTAAAGGGTCCAAGCTCTCGAGCTGACACCACCATCTTACATTTGAGGAAGAGTGAGCTCAAGGTCACACTGTAAGTTCATTCACTCATTCATTCATTTCACAAGCATTAATTATGCTTCTGCTCGACTGAAAAAAAAAATCACCTCCCACAAGGAGTTTACATTCTATTGGAAGCTCCTGGCAGGGCCAGGACCAAAGGCCAAGCCTCCTGACTCCTAGTTCAATGCTCTGTCCACTAGGGAATGCTGCCTTCCATTAGCAACTACCTGGTTAAAACTGTTTCCTGTGAGCTCTTTCTAGGTCTTCTTCCTCTCCCCCCTTCCCCAACCTGCCTGAAAATGCCTCACTGTACTTCTAGGGACCTATTGCCATAAACACTCCACTCCCTATAGCCTCACACACCCACCCACATGCCATCACACACTTACAGAGCCACACATCCTGAAATCATTTCCCATACACTCACAGCACCGTTCAGAGCACTTTCCTGGGAGCCGTTTTGGGCCAGGTCTCCACTTTCTCCTTTCATCTCTTGGTTGTAGGGGTGGTCCAGCTACTTTCTCCTTGGGTTTGGTACCAATCCTCACCCAGGGATAAATTTAGGCAACTGGGATCAGACCCAAAAATATAGTCTGACCTTTCAGAGGAAGGGGTAAAGGAGCCAGTCTGGGGTCTTCCTTTCTCTCCACAACCAGTCTCAGTAAGTCCTCTCAAGGTAGAGGACTGGGTCAGCTTGCCATGACTTCTATAACTTTCTGGGGGCTTTGTCTACTAAGATAGTGATCCGTCTCCTCCTCCTCCTCTTCTTCCTCTCTCACAAACATACTGAGATGGAGACAGATACATACAGCAGAACACAGAGGTTCCCATCTATATACACAGGTAGGTGCAAATATATACAATATTACACTAACATCAAGTTAGTTACACATGCACAGAGACATTTACCTAGGTCTACACACTTCCCTACTATATACCCTGTTGTTTGCGCACCTATGGTCAAACACAAACACTCCTCTGTTGTTGTTGGGCTTTTTTTGGGGGGGGGTGGGAGGGAGGGGTATTGAGAGGCTGCCCCCATTCCACTCCCCCCTTTCCTTTCTTTCCTTGCTTCCCCTCCCCCACTGCCTCCCTGGGCACCCGTTTGCCAGGGTTATTTATAGAAGCAGGCGATAAATTCAGTGTGTTTCTCGGTGCGCAAAGCTATAAATAATGGCACAGATCATTAAACCCCTAGAGCAGGCCCAGCCGCCGACGCCGCGCAAACAAGATGAAGTACAAACCACCGAGTGAAAGAGAGAGAGAGAGAGAGAGGAGAGAGAGAGAGATACACGCAGAGATATAATGAGGCAGAGACAGAGACAGAGCCAGTGAGAGAGATCCAGGACTGACCAAGATGATAGGCCACTCCCCTGCAATCACTCAACCTATCCAAAGGGCACCTTATATGAAGAGGCCAAGAGGAGATTCTCAGTGAACTCAAGAGGGGCTGGTAGTATAGAAAGGGGGAAAGCTGGGCCTAGAAGCCCCTCCAGAGGTAGAAGGAATCTTACTCATGGAACCTGGCATCTTCCCTACACATCTCTAACCCATGAAGGTCCCCTTCATCTTCCTTCTCTCCCCCCACTTCTCCTTCCATCACTCCCTTTCTCTCTCCCTCTTCTTCCCTTCCCATCCCCCTCTATTTCTCCTCTTTCCCATTTCTTCTCCCATCTCTCCCTTTCTCACTTCTTCTTGCTACCCTGCTCCTCTCCTTTTCTTTTGTGCCTTCCCTCCTCCCCACTCTAGATCTCCAGGCCATGGGGAGAAGCCCTGATAGCCTAGGAAGGAGCCGCCGAGGCAGAAATTCCCCTGTCAGCAGAACACTAGTGCTGACTGCTGATTCAGTGTCTGTGATCTCCGAGGCGGAGGCAGCAGGGGACAGGGAAGATGGATGAGGAGAACAGGGAGCAAGCACAGAGGGGACATTGGGGACTGGGTCTCATGGCGGAGGTGAGAATCTGGGGGAACAGCCCTGACCCCAACAACTGACAGCCACATCAGTGCCTGTGGATCAGTGAATGAGG